AAGTGCCATCCTCAATGACAGTGAAGAACCCCAAACGACACTGGGAGGGATTCAAGAGTGGTGTTTTCTCCACACACTAATGCCCTTAACACGGTTACAAGGAGCAGTCACTGAGGCAGCGACTGCTTGAAATGTACTTCACACCATCCCTGGGGGTAAACACGATGAACCTCAGCTGTGTGCAAGGCTGGGCCAGGAAGCCAAGACCACATCTAGCAGCAGCACACTGAGAACTAGGCGAATCCAACTGAAGCCTCCAACTCAGAAAGAAAAGGATATCATGGATTGATGCAACTCTTGAAACTCAGGTCTCAAGGCCAAATACAGATCCTGACATTCCCGGGACAGAACTGGGTTGTGCCTCCGCAGAACTCCAGGAAGACGAGCAAACACGTTTGAGGAACAACAGAATTGCTGTTTCTGCTGAAGGCAACTTGTAGACAACCCTTGGAAATTCTCCTGATAAAGCCTCTAATTTAGAGCCTCTCTAAAAAAATAGCTATGTTTACATGACTTACGGAAAAAGCAACGCACATCCAGTCACTCGAGTTGGTGAATAAGCTTAACTGGCTCATTAATGAAGGCAAAGATCAGATAAATATCGGGGGGTTCTTTGCAAAATAAAATCCAAACTCTATTCCAGCAACCAGAAGTTGCTTTTAGGTTAGTTAAAAGACCTTTTTAAATCCATTTTAGGTTGGGTTTTTTTGTTTGTTTGCTTTTTTCGTTTTGCTTTTTTTTTACAAAACCCCAACTTTTCCCTGGCTCTCTCAGTACAGAAAAAAAAAATCAATGTAGATAGGATTAGGAACTGAACACAGCTGAGCCTGACTCCCACATCAGCTTTATGAAATCCCAACGGGGGATGATGAGACAATCCAGCCCATCCACACGTAAACACAGCTCGAGCAGCAAGTCTCTCTCATCCGAAAACAAAAGTACTCGCCGAGCATCAGAAAATGTGTTCAAGAAACCATAAAAGGAAGCGTTAGCAAAAGGGGTTTTGGGCTCAAAAACACCCTTCGTGAGCACCCCCACGTTTTGCAAGGCCATTCAGAAACTGGTCTGCCCCAGGAATACAAAAGGGCCTACCGAGAGCCGCTGGAATCAGACCCACCCGCAGCCTCCACAGCCGCTTCCAGCACTTCTGATTCCGTCTCGGAAGGTTCTCAGAGGGGAATGAAAAAAACACTTAGTTCTAGATGTACAAGTAAGGCACAATATAAAGCCACATCGTCATCTGTCATGAAGGAGAGAGGGAAGGACGAGGGAGGGTCGTACGTGGTACAGCAGAACAAGCAGCCCATCGATTCCAAGTGTGGCACCTACGTTCAGACCGACGAGATCTCGACACGAGCAGTTAGGACAGCATGCTTGGAATATGGAAACAGACCCTAGAGAATCCAGTGTATCGGAAATAAAACAAAAACCCAACAACAACAAAAAAATAAACCCAGGAAGAGCTTCTGTTTGTATTAAATCCCAAAAATATAGATCCTTGGTTCTGGATATAGGATTAAGAGTGACTATTCACAAAGCCTACACTCCAAAACAAACAGAGAACCCCAGGACTTGGTTAAGAGCCACATACCATGTATGAACACTGAACATCTTTAGATCTCCTCTAAAGATCACCCCAAGTGCATGCCACGAGTCGCCGAGAAACAGAACATGTACATTGCTTGGGCTTTACAGCCTCGAGAGATTTTTTGTTTGTGATAAGTATACACTAACTGCATCTACTGTAATGACACTAGAGGAAGCAGATTGTTACTGGCATTAAAGTACAACCATTTTCTAGACGGTTTAAATGCCACAGAGTCCCCTGGTTAAAAATGTAAAGCTGCACAGCTTGCCTATGTCACCTTTATGATAAAGTTAAACCAGCCCAAAGGTCTTATCTTTACTCTACATTTTACTGCCAGGTTTGTTTATCTCAAGTATCGCTGCAGCATTCTGACCAGCCCAGAGTTAGCAGCAAGTGGCAGGAATCATATAAAATGCAATTTTTGTTTATTTTTTTCTCTCTTTTTTTTATTTTTGTTTTTACTTAAACAAAGTGCTTCTCTAAGATATACATATAAATAGTTACAAAATAAAGTGTCAACATTAAAAAGCTCAACTATTTCAAAGCTTTAACTTAAAATAATACCTAGGAAACACTGAAATGCGAGGGAAGGGAACTCACTAGGAGAGTCTGAATCTACCTTGAAATGCGAGACCAAAATCATCGTCTGGTTTGCAGACAAAAATCAGAAGCTATAAAGTTGTGTTTGCTCAGTGTTTCTGAGCAGTATCAAAAGGGCCTTGTTAACACCTTGTCAGTTGAATTTGTCACAGAGGTTTGTTTTGCTTGGTTTTTTTTCCTATCTAATTGCAAACTGCTCTCTCTGAATGTGTAGGAACCTTGTCTGCGCCGGAGGGAGCACAAGGAACTCTGGGATCAGTGTCCGTCGGGAAGGGACACCGGAGTGCCCGGGGACAGGCACACCTGACTTCACAGGAGACATTCTCTGTCGGGGTTTATGGGCCACATGCAGCTCCAGAACAACTACACCAGGAACACACCAGACCCACTGTGTAAAGCAGCAGCCAAACTCTCACCTCACCCTGACAACAACAACAACAACACCACGAACACCTGAACGGACAAACACCCACGTTCCACTCGGGTCCCGAGCGGATTTACAACGTTTTGCCTACATTGCCCTGGGTATTTGTTCAGTCTCTGGTAGGAAAGGCTTTTTCTGTACAGCTCAGTAGTGGTATTTTGGCCTCCTCCTCCCTTTTTTTTTTTGAGTCTTACCCAAAGGTTGCGGTTTGGAGCCAGCTGTGTGCACACCTGCACAGGTGTGTGGCAGAGCTGCCACCTCCACCTCCTCTCACACCAGTTCAGGCTTTTTTGTTTTGTTTTTTTTTTTTTGTGTTTTTTTTTATATATAGTACAAGCTTGGCTATAAAAATAATCTACTTATAAACAACAACAAAAAAAAAAAGAATCACAGTACAAACAAACTTAGACAAACCAGAAATGAAGTGGAGAAATTCCCCCCAAAGGGAGTGGGGAAAAAAAGCCTTCATGGACTTTTTGCATTTCTCTTTTTTTTTTTTTGTTTTGTTTTTTTTTTTCAGCAGCTACATTTGAAAATATTTGGTATTTCTATTTTCAGTAAACAGTGTTTTGTCATCTTTAAATAGGGAGAGAAAGAAGAGGGAGGAAAAGGAAGGGGGTCCATGAAACCAGAGAATGATCTTGCCTTGAGATAAAGGACTTCCTCATCAAAGGCTAAAGCTTTTAATCTGGACGTTAACACTGACTACGAAGCCAACTCTTATTAGCAGAAGAGCAAATAAGAACTGTGTGTGTTAATATTCCTCAACCATAGAAACTACTGGATGAACGAGGAGAAAGTCACAGAGAAGTCTGAAGAAGCTAATTTCCAAATACCTGTACAAAAATAGAAAAAGTCTATAAATTGTTTCTGTCGTTTCTTTGCTTTGAAGCCTCTGCTGATCCTTGGAAACGTCACATGCAGAATGATACACTGACTGGAAAAGTGGCAACTAAGGAATTAGATATCTGCAGCTCTTTTTCCTCTTTACATATGTACACATTGCAATAAAAATAAGTTCATTTTGGTTGTTTGGTGGAAGTTATACTACAACAAGCGAAATATGTTTCTCTCTTCCAACTAACTCTCCCAAGTCAAAAACTACTTTCCCAATAGCTTTACTAGAATCCAAATATATTAAAATCTCCTACAGGAAGTGCAGAGAAGAAAAGATTTCAGGACTCCAAGACTTTGCCACCAACTTATCTACCATGGAAGCTACTACAAGAACAGCAAAAGAATATTGTTATGTATGAATGCTCCTTCTGTAGATAATTGGACCCAAACGAAAAGATTCACAGTTCAGTAAGATCCCTAACCCTGACCTTTAATTTTTCTTCTTCTTTTTTTTTTTTTTTTTGTTTTTTTTTCTTCTTTTGTTTTTACATTCAGTACAGTATCATATAAGCTGTGCAAAACTTTACTTAGACTGGCAGTTTGCCATATCAGTTGCATTTGTCTTTGGTACAAAAATAAAACAATCGCATTAATGTGCAAGTTATTTGTTTTCTTCCGGCCAAAGTACCGAAAATTGGAGTTTTCTAGAGCCATCTTTTTATACAATACATAGACTCTGTGGCATATATCTACATTTTTCAACAGATTCCTATATACATTCAAAAATTTTAAGAGCTGGAAACAAATACATTAAAACCTAAAATCTCACCATCTATACAACTTGGTTTGCTTGTTTTGTTTTTTTGCCCCTCAGGGTTTTCTTCATACAAAAACTTTACCAGCTTACACTGATAGCTTCTCCCTCCAAAATACAAGGCACAAAGAATATACTGGTTTGTTTTTTTTGTTGTTTTTTTTTTCCTCCTGCTTGCACAGACATTGAAATACTCTATTAAGCTCAGGAAATGAAAGTCTCCTCTGGCACACACCAGCTCTAGTGCCACGTGTGCTATGTACAAATTAATGGTTGCAAAGAAAGCTTATTGGTTTGAAGAACAACGAAAGAAAATCCAATTGTTGCAAAGAAAACCAACAAAAAAAAACCCAACTCCCTAAATCGACAACTTTCCCAAAAAACACTTCGCTTGGACCATAAACCTGTCACAATATCTGGCACGTGCTACAGATTATCACTAGCAAACCTCACGTTTTTGCTTCTAACATCAATGTGATCTATTCTGGTCCTACATCAGGTGAAAGTTCTCATTTCTGTATGCTTAAAGCAGCTTGGGAACTATCTCGTTTATGGTCCGAAAAAATGCTCTGAAGCATTCTTCCCTCACACCTTGACTACACTGTTATTCCAGAACCCTGGGAGCTAAGAGTGAGTGTTTACAGAGTGCTAAGCTGACATGCAGACCAGAACGCGATTTACAGCGCGGAACTCCACAGCACAGGCAGGATCTGACCCGGGAGAGCTCCAGCGGCGCCTCAGACTTTGGCCATGGGTATCCGCAGCCCCACCAGGCCCCCGGTGGGGTCACCTTCTGCAGTCTTCTCTAAGACTTGGTTCACAAACTCTGAGGTCTGTCCAGCGACAGGAAGCCCTAAAAGGCAGGGGGAGAGAAGGTGCTGTCAGGTGGCTGTTCATGGCACCCGTCTGGACACTGCTTACAGAGCCAGGGAGGATTAGATTAGGATCAACCAAAGGCGCAGACAACTCAGACTACAAAGTGCTTCTTTCTTTTCTCTACTTTTGCAACCCAATGTAGTGAGTCCAAGATGATTGGAGGGGTGGAGAACCTCTGCTGTGAGCAAAGGCTGAGAGAATCACAGAACCATCAAGGCTGGAGGAGACCTCTAAGATCATCAAGTCCAACTGTTAACCTGTCACTGCTGGAACCCTAAACCCCAAACCACATCTGCCAAGCCAGATGGGTGGGATGGTTCCATCCCACAAGCTAGAACTGGGATTGTTCAGTCTGGACAAGAGAAGCTCTGGGGTGACCTTATGTGGCCTCCCAGGGCCTGAAGGAGCCTACAAGATGGAGAGAAGCTATTTCCAGGGGCCTGGAGTGACAGGACAAGGGGGAATGGATTCAACTGACAGAGAGGAAGTTTAGATTGGATATTGGGAAGCAATTCCTCCCTGTGAGGGTGCTGAGGCACTGGCACAGGTTGCCCAGAGAAGCTGTGGCTGCTCCACCCCGGGAGTGTTCCAGGCCAGGTTGGATGGGGCTTGGAGCAACCTGGGCTGGTGGGAGGTTTCCCTGTCCATGGCAGGGGGTGGAACTGGATGATCTTTAAGGTCCTTCCAACCCAAACCACTCTGTGATTCTCTGATTCTATGTCTCTTCACACACAGGCAAAACCATGAGGTTTTACTGCTTACCAAGAGTGTCTTTAATCAGTATGTTCAGCTTTTGTTCCATGTTGACTCCTCTGTCATCTTTAGGGACCTGCACCCGATTGACTATTTCTTGCTTAATGGAGTTGATGACAAACAGTAAATTATCTGCAAAGAGGAAAAAAACCAAACCTGGATTAGATTACAGCAAAAGAGATCCACAGTCACCCACATGCACAAAGGTGTCACATCACACTTGCTCCAAGATTACATGTAATAATTTACATCAGATGTTACAAATATTGTCACTCCATGCCTTCATTTACACAATTTCCAGCTGTAAATAGCTCAGCATTGCAGGAACCCAAGTGACACACACTTCATGGAATGGACTGGTTTGGCACCCACAGAACAGCTGGCTTTGTACCAACTCTGTTTTGTCTCTGACCCAGGTTACATCACAGGGCAAAGTACAGACTTGTCTGAACAGAACAAAAATGGAGATGTGAAGAGTTGTATTTACCATATTCTGTGTTGAGACCCCAGAGTTTTACTTTATTGGCTTCATACTGGGCTTTCTTTTTTAGCCTACAAGCCCTAGGGTAAGAAGAGAGGAAGAATTAGTACACTACCAATAACTCCAGAACACTCAGAGCATTTCTTTTTGTTTGCCACATGAACTTATCCACCAATACCTGTACAAGATCATCCACCTGCTCCCTCACCCTCACTGCAAACACTCTGCCTCCTGCATCTGCTTACATCTGGATTCTACCACTGCATCAGCACTTTGCCCTGCAGCTAAGGAAGGTAACTTCATAGTTTCATAGGAGGTTAAAGGGTTGGGATGGAGCTTAGAGATCATCCAGTCCCAACCCCTGCCCTGAGCAGGGACACCTCCCACCAGAGCAGGTTGCTCAAGGCTTCATCCAACCTGGCTGTGAACACTGCCAGGGTTGGGGCAGCCACAGCCTCCCTGGGCAACCTGTGCCAGTGTCTCACCACCCTCACAGGGAAAACCTCTGCCTGATATCTAACCTAAATTTCTCTCTTTCAATTTCTCCCCATTGCCCCTTGTCCTGTCACTGCAGTTTCTAACCAAGAGTCCTTCTCCAGCCTCCTTGTAGGCCCAACTTCCACTGGAAACACATCCTTATCTAGGAAACAGCAAAGCTACATAGTCCCAGCAATCCAGTCCCAGTTGTCCTGCTTTTTGTCCAGCTGGCAATTAGCCCATTGCAGGAGCAGATCTCAACCCTACAGTTGTAGCAACCCAAATGTCCTCACCCCTGCAGCTCCAGCTGATTCATACCTGGAAGCCAACTTGTTCTTCTCTTTCCTTGACCTGGGTCTGGCAGTTAAGGGAAGTTCACTGACTGGAGTCAGGTCACTGATCACCTTATTCAGCTTCCTCAGCTCGTTACCAATCTGTAGGAGCTTCCTGGGGTTGGGAGTCAGGTCTTCTACATCAGTTCTTCGTGACTTCTTTGCTGCATATTTTCCTGTGTTAAATATGTAGGAAAAAAAGGGTTGGGAAGTGACACAATTGTACACAAACAGTCTTAAATACCTATTTTTGTGGGTGCAGTTGGAGTTCCTTTGTTGATTCAAAGAGAATGGGCCGGAATCATGTGATCCCTGTGGCCTTTCACAATAGAAAGAGCATTTCCAGACTAACTGCTCTGTACAATTCATATTCTGCCCAGATCAGATAAGAGCAAATGCTGCTGGTCATGCTGCTGGATGTGACAGGCAGAGCACACACAACTGTGCTGAGAAATCCACGTCCCAGGCTCAGACCCTGTTGGTTTGCTCCAGCTGTGAACTTGTTAACTCGTGTGCTCAGCCAACTCTTGCACACTCAGGTTGGTTAGATTCCTAAATAATCTCATTGCTAAGGTTCTGTATATAGAGAAGAAGCTCTGAGGCCTGGAACTGACAGGACCTTTAGTGGTGCTGAGCTGAGCAGAGCCACACAAATGCAAGTTAACCCCTTTCTTCTGTATTCACAGCTATTTATAGCCTGATTTTCCTGAGGAAAAACATATATTTCAGACAAAACCTTTATTCCTTAAGATTCTCTACCACTGCTGTGTCTCTTTTTCTATATTTTTAACACAAATGCTGTTTGAACACCATCTTCAGGCACATTACAGACACTTGCATGGAAATGTTCCTAAACCAAACCAAACCTGATCCAGAAATATTCACTAGGAGCTGATATTTTTGCATGATTTATCCGAGTTGCTCACTGAAATTGGTGTGTGTATACAAAACTAAAAATTTCCTGCATGTGTTCTGTAGATTTGGGATGTTAAATAGTGTTTCATCTCAGCCATCCCTGACCGAAAGGTCACTTGCCCTCAGTGCCTGGTGGGACTGACTCCTCAGGGCATGTCTGGTCTTTAATACCAAGTGGAGAATCCTAGAAGGGTTTTAGATTGGAATGGACCTTAAAGATCATCCCGTTCCAACCCCCTGCCACGGGCAGGGACACCTCCCACTAGAGCAGGTTGCTCCAAGCATCATCCTGAGAAGGAGCAGTGACAGGGACATTAGGTGTTGCTATTTCACTCCAAGATAGGCTTAAAAACTAAGGAGATTTAAAGAAAAAGAAATGTTTTCTTGCCTGAATAAATCTACAAGTAACAATACAAAAGAGCCTTTTAGTTTCAGAGAAGGTCGATTGCCATGTTAAAGGCAGCAATTTTCAGCTCCAAGGGAACACTAACATTACAACCAGGGAAGTTGGTTTCATTTTCCAAGCTAAAAATCAGAGCAGCCTAAAAGAGCTCCTAAAATACTCCTAAGAGTGGTTTGTTCTGGGTGCTGTTAGTCATGTGTGTGGTGCAGTTAATTGCTCATTAGGAACAAATCAGAGCTATTGAGCAACCGGCTCAGGTTTCTAAGAGGGCACGTTCAGGAACTAAGTTTATTCACAGAAGGGTAAGTGCTTCACTGTGCTGCACTCACAAGGGGGGAGGGGGGGGGAGAAACAGGGAGGGAGGAGCGAAGAGAGACAGTTGTGCCTTAGTACTTGTCCTCAGCTCATACCACTCCCCCTGAGCTCTGCACCCCACATCCCTCCCAGCTCACAAGCAGGACTGAAAGCAACAGCCACCAGGAGCAAACAGCACTCCAGCCACCCATCAAATCTGTTTACAGTATCACACTGAGAAAACTTTGAACTCTTGGGGTTTCCAGTGAGAGCCCTTGGAAAATACAATTCTCAATTCATCCACTCTCCTCTGGAGGAAACCACACTGAAAGTCACTACTGTGTTCCCTGTGCCTTCCCTGGGCACTGCAGGACTCTGCTGAGTGAGCAACAGACGTGCAGTGTTTCAGTGACTGATTTGTAGGGCCAAAACACAACCTCTCAGTGCTTGCAAGGGTGAGAATTGGCTACTGAAGGTGCCAGAAGTGAAGACAACCACTTGTGACCCTTCTTACCATGGTGGAGCCCATTCTTCTGGTACATGTTGCTGGGTAACGTGTCACGGTTCCACTCAGAAGGCCTCAGCATCCTCTCCTGCTGGGATGGTGTTAGCTGCTCACTGTACTCCCAGAAGTATCTTCTCTTCCCTCTTTTCCGAGAGGATATCGCAGTCATTTCTTTTAGATCCTCCACGGAATCATTTTCATACCCTAAAAGGATGCAGTGGGTTGTTTACACACTGGTCACAGAAGCGTTTGTAGCCCTTCAGCACTGGACTGTGTAGTTGAGCTAAGAGCGAAACCACAAGCAAGGCCTGTTTGACATGAGCTATCAGACTTGGGTTCCAGCACCTGGACTGGGGCAAGTCCCCACTCCTGGGGACTTGCTTCAAACCCAGGGATGGACACTGGGACACTGACAGTGCTTCATGAGTTGAAAAGAGACTAGTTATTTATGCATTGAAAGCCCCTTTAGGTCCTCTGACCCCCTAAGCTCTTGTCCCTCGTGATCCCACCAGTGCAGAGTCCTGACAGGAGCTGATGGACTTCTTCCATCAATGTTCTTCCATCCTTACAACTTCCTCCCTGAATTTGCAGGAACATAATCCTAACTCACTTTCACATTTTAGAGTGTCATGGAAAGACAAGCAGGTAATAAAGGTGGATTAACAAAAGACAATAAAGAAACCAAAACTATTCCATCATGGAATGCTCTGAGTTGGAAAGGATCCACTAGGATCACTGAGTCCAATTCCTGCTCCTCCTTGAGTTTGGGCACCTTTTGGGAATCAATCACAGTAGTGATCCCTATCAGACTGGAGGGAGGAGATTCTGTCATCAGGACAGTGACCTAAAGAGCATCTGAACTGAAGGGATCTGGACAGAGGTTGTTCAGTCTCTTCCTCTTCTTTGGTGGGAGGAAGAGAAATGATCCCCAGTAAATGTACCATGTTTTAGAGGTGAATTATGAAGCACTTGTTATGATGATCTGTTCATGAAGGACATGGAAACTGCAATGCCACGACCCACATTGCATAAGTATTATGATTCTTAAAACCTTAGGTAAACTTTAGAAAAGAGATAACCTCTACTAAGGGAACAAAACTCCCAACCCTGCATTGCCTTTTGTATGAAAGTGCTAAACACTAGTTTACATTTAGCTGAACCAGAAGCATTTCAAAGCATCACATCCTCTGCTGGTGCTGAGGAAGAGCCACCCACGGCAGGGACTGCAGCTCAGCAAGCCTTGACCCCAACTGCTTCAGCTCTGCTTCATCTTCCACCCGCAGCACAAAGAACACTTTCTTCTTTCAACAACACCCCACTCAATGAGTCTGTTTGCACTTGAAAACCAGTTGGAAGAGGAAAAACAAACCTCCTTGCTTTGGTCTGACTCTCACCTCACAACCCAGAGTGCCCAGAAAAGGTGTGCAGAAGGATGAAACCAGTCCTGATGTTCTGTTTCTAATCATTTCATCCACTCAGTTACTTTGATTCTCTGGTTTATTAGGAACAGTACTCGAAAGGCAAATCAAACAATGACAAATGTTTATAAAACAGTTTTGTTGCATAGCCAAAATTTGTGATGATTTACAGTAAACGCAGTTTAAAATAGCAGAAGTATTTGTAACTCTACTTCCAGTTTACCCAAAGGCTGTTTGACACAAGTGTCAAGACACTCTCACAAAGCACACTGACTTCCCACTTGGAAAACCATGCCAAGCCATGGAACTCTTCACATAACACGTATGAGTTTAGCCCATTTTCAGGGCGACCCAGAACGAATCCAACCGAGGAAAACAAACCCCTGTGAGAGCTGATGTGTACAAATGTACAACAAGGTTCAAATCAGGACTTCCTGTTTGCTTATTTAAACCATAATTAAGTTAGCAGCTTAAATTACATTGAGTTAATGCATCCTGCCCTGTAACTCCAACACTGCCTACCACGTCAGAGTCACACAGAACAGCCCTCTGCACAGCGTGCTGCCCTGGGCTGGAGCACAGACCTGTTCAGCTCTTCTGCACTGCATTTACTTATCCCTCTTCCTTGAGAGATCCATCTATCCCTCTCAGCATAGGTCATGGAGCAGGAAGGGCTGCTGAGAAAGCTGAAATGGTTCTTGTGTTCAGCTTTCAAGCCCTTGACAAGTCTCTCCTCAAAGCCTTTGTCACATCCCTCGCTGGTTTCAGGGTTAAGTGAAGTAGAGAGCAGCACACACATGACTTCTGCATTTTACCAGCTTAAGAGCAAGAGCAGCCCCACCAAAACCAAGCAGGAACCCTCCTCCTAACCACTCAACCATTCCAACCCCTGTCCACTCATTCAGGAGTCTCCTTCCCCAGCTGATGGCTCAGATGCAATGCAGCTCTATAAAACAACCTCTGCGTCTCTACAACCACTTTCCCCTTTTAGCTATTCCTTCTCCAGTGCTGCTGACAACCGAGTATCTCCCATTTCTGGAATCTCTTGACTACTTGATGGGAGAAACAACTATTTCTATTCAATGGGATTGGTAAAACATACTAAGCAATGACGAACTCCCCATGTTCAAATGCTAGTAAAGGTCTGGGCTGGTAATTCCCAGGACAAACTACCTCTGCAGGGACCCAAAATTGCTAAATCCGTACCCTGGTGATGATAAAAACATTGTTGTCCAAACTTGCCTGAGAGTAACACACATTTTCAGCTATTTCTCCCTCACTGTATTAAGTATTGCCTCAGATAACACCTGAAAAAAAAGCATTTCACACACACTAAAGACAAACATGAAGAACAACAAAGAGCAAACTGTGTACAAAAACCCGTTAGAGGCTCAGCAACAACCAGGAGGTTTTTGTCCTTTCAGTAAATGACATCCTCACTCAAAATATGAACTGGTTTGGTTTCATTGCTGTGGAAGGTTTAACCTTCCTGTGCCATGACTATTTTTAGATGCTTTGGGTAAAGTACTTACTTTTCAAGGTAAAAAAGCAATACAAAGTACAGGAGTGACATAAGTAAAATATCTGGAGAATTAGCCTCTAATAAAGTCTAAATATAGGATGAAACACTTCATATCACTGTACTTGAGGCAAATTGTTTAGGCCTCATTAGGGAAAGGCTTGGGAAGCTTCTACAGCTCCAAGTCCTCATTTGCTGTGGGTTGTTTGTCAGGAAAATGTGAGCAGACAGCAAACAGTTAATGTAATTCCACCAACAGCATTTAATTCAACCCCTCTTTTCCATGAATCCCAAGCTTTCAGTGCAACACACCCCGTGGGCAGCACAGCCACCCTAAGGGCTGGAACCTGAGGGCCCAGAAAGGAGAGGGAGCTCAATCCAGAGGGAAGGAAGAGGTCTGAAAACGCTAATAAAAATGTGGCGTGTGCATGTGAGAAGTAACATAAAGGGTACAATGCTTCACAAGTTTAATGCCAACTCAGGAAATCTAATTAGAAAGTGATTTCATCTGAGAGTTCGTTATGACAAACGCTGACAAGCTCTAGGGAGGCTGTTCCTAAAGAGGAAAGATTTCAGCTGCTTCCCCCAACCCGAAGTCACACACTGCCAAACACCAGAACACCTGAATTGCTACACTGCTGCAAAGCACTGCTGAAACGTGAGCACTGCAGTACTTCTGCAACAAATTTAATCCTTGGCCACAGTCCTGTCCCTTCACATCTCAGTTTGACACCACACACCACTTTGTTACCTTCTAGGCGAAGGTTAGTTCTTATTTCTGCTGTTAGGGCTCCATCTCTACATGCGGGAGAGAGGAATTCAGTCTCCTTTGAAGACCCACTAAGTGTTACTGCTGAAAACCACCAAGAAACAGTTTTATTAGTTTCACTGGCAAATATTCTTTGGATCCTGTGGAAAACTGTACCTGCAGGAGGACTTAATAGAATCATTTCACTGAGGAGATGATTTCATACTTATCAAGAGATACAGCTCTGGCTAAATTCAAAGCAACAACCTAGTGAAGTGCAAGAAAGCTCTGCACACCTTATCACAAGCCATGAAGAAGACAACACTTGCAGGTAGCTGCTCTGACCTCAGGCTACAAGCTGAGCTACCTGTGCTCTCTATCAGTGTATTTGTGGCATGACCACAGTTTGTGCAGTTTTTCCACCAAACAGGGCAAACAGAGACCTTGTATAGCTTGAATTAATTACACTTTGCAAAGCACTTAGCAAATCTGGGATGAAAAGTTCACAACTTAAGATCAGTGTTGCTCATCTGTAACTACCAGGAGTTCAAAATCATTCCTTCCCACTGGGCAGCCAAATCCATTCACCTCCACGTTAACAAAGCCCAACATTGCTGGTACCTGGTTCTGAGAAAGTATCGCTGATGTCATCGTCTTTGTCATCCTCATAATCTTCTTCCTCGTCATCGTTTTCAGACAGCTCATGCTCACTGCCAAATCCTTCATCGTGGTCCTCGTCTTCGATGTCATCCTCATCATCCTCATCCTCCTCAGGCTCTCCTTTGGCTGACTGTTCACCCAAACTGTCTGTTACAAAGAGAGAGTAGTTGTGCTCCTCTTTCTTCTGCGAGGAATCCGACACTGAGGTGCTGGCGGACAGGCTGCTCTCCCCCACGATGAGCCCTGGGCTCTCCTGGGGTGGGCTGAGGAGCAGCTCTTGAGTCTCTTTAAAAGGCAAAACAGGAGGTGTACTGTGCCCATGTGGGGACTCCAGTCCTTTCCTCTCTTGTCTCTTTGCTACAGCACCACAGTAGCAGGTGTTCTCCTTCGCTGCGTCGGCGTGTGCCTGGCTCAGCACAGGTCTGCTCTGCGATAAGGGGTTGATCTTTACTTTAGCCTTTTTCACATAGTCTTTACATTCAACGTGAATGTTCACCTTCTCGTGGCTGTACACGTTGGTCTTCACCATGATCTGTGTACTGGAAGCAGGCTGAGGGGCAGGTTTGCTTGCCTTCTGAGCACAGTCCGACAGCGGCGCCTCGGCCTGGATGCTCTTGGAGGAACACACCGGCGCCGCTGCCCTCGTGGTGATTTTTTTGCCAGGTAACAAAGGATTCAAAGGGTTTTGTTTTCCACCAAAGAGCAAGTCAGGGTAATAGAGTGAATCAGAGACAGGCTGGGAGTCCTCACTGTTAAGCTGAGCCAGTGTTGGTGTTTTGCTTATCACCTCTTCGTCTTGGTATGGGCTTGAGAAGTCATCGAGGCCCAGGTAATCCACCTCTTTTGTTCCCCAGATGTCACAGCTGGTTAGTTTAGTGTACTTAGTTAAGTCTTCACAGTAGGTATCCCACTGCTCCCACTTGGAGGTGAGAGCAGCTTCTTTGTCCAGGATGTCTGTAAAAGACTCCAAGTTCTCAAGGTCTTTGCAGTCCTCCATGGAAAGTAAGTTGTCCCTGGAGCTTTGCTGATAGTCCATTTCTCTGTCCTGTGCATCATAGATAAGGTAAAAATTAATACCAAAGAAGTATGATTAACATCAAAAAAGTCCTCTACTTAATCTAGCACAGTGAGCTCAATCCCAGTGAAGGGTGAGAGAGTGGTAACAGCTGAAGAAACCTCAACTTTCAACTAAAAGCTTCTTTTGAGGGTCAGAATGAAGTCCAACTTCTCTTCAGCAACAGGTCCCTCTGAAGGGATTGCTCTTTCAGTGTCAAGAGATTCTTTCTTTGCTATTGCAAATTCATCTGGTCACCAGGAACTAAACCAGTACCAACATCCATGATTTAAAACATGAAAGACATCACAGACAAGTCATTCTAGTCTCTATTAATCTAGGTCAATCTTTGCTGTGTGCTCAACAGAACATGCTCAAGTTTACCAGACCCTGGAAAAACCTCATTCTAAGACAACCAATTCATGATCATGAGCTACCTTTCTCCTTTGAAGAGGGGAAAAAAGGACAAGACAATTCTAGTATAAGTAGCTCATGAGTCAACTTTTAGTTGACTTTTATTCACAGCTTGGGAGAGCACATAGCAGGGAGAAATTCTTCCCTGTGAGGGTGGTGAGACTCTGGCACAGGTTGCCCAGAGAAGCTGTGGCTGCTCCATCCCTGAAGTGTTCCAGGCCAGGTTGGATGGGGCTTGGAGCAACCTGGTTTAGGGGAGGGTGTCCCTGCCCTTGGCAGGGGGTGGGACTGTATGATCTTTAAGGTCCTTCCAACCCAAACCACCCTGAGATTCTGTATAGCTGCTGTCACAGAAAAGACTATAAGAAAGAGTCTCAAGAACCATCGCAGACCACCAGCACAGCTCAGGGATCCCATCTGAGCCTCTTCTGATGTGCAGCTCTAACAAGAGCCTCCTGAGGCAGCACCACTGTTGCTGGACCAGCAGCCAGCAGTAATGAACATTCTTGAACAAACACCCCTCAATTACTACACAAACTCAGTCAAGCAGAGGAAGCTCTGTAGACACACAGGTAAGTGACCTACCAGTTCATACATGAAGTCTGGATCTGAACTGCTTGCCAAGAGATCTGTGCTCATCAGAGTCTGCTCCGAAAACACATGGCTCCGAAAGGCATCCCCAAAAGGAGGGTCCATTCCACTCACACTGGGCTGCAACACAAGGGACACACACTTGATACCCAAAGGCACTTTATCACCTTCAACAAAAGAGTATCACCATGTCCTCCAAGTCCCTGCACTCTCCTTGCACCTGAAAGGGTTTTACCTTCACAGATCAGCAAATCATTCCCCAGAGCCAGAGAATGCTTTAAGAGCAGCTCCTCAATCAAAGGACACGTTTCTACTCACCACAGAGCAGCAAGAGCATTGCTCATTCATTCCTTCTTGTGGGTTTGAAAAATCTCATGTGTCTGCCAAGTTTAGGGATCTGCTGCCAGCTGGAGCAGACAGGAGTGAGTGCCGAAGATCTGCGAGTATCGGGAGACACCACCCTGGGCCCTCACCCTGATCCAAATCATTCTGTACCACAGCAGTGTTGACTGTGCTTAGAACCATCAGAACTCATAAAACTTCCACGTGAAATGGTAACTAAAGCAAAATGTGTGAGAACTGAATCAGGAGTGTTATCTCTGTCTCAAGAATAACATGGAACCAGGCAAAAAGCCCACTGTGCGGGGGGACTGGGCCTGCAGGGAATGGGCAGCAAGGCCTTCTGCTACACTGAATTCCAGAGCTCTATGCCTCTTCTAGACACTCTGGCCCTGAGGGGCTGAAGGGAGAAACACTGTGCTGCTGAAAGTCATTCCGTGTGCTGATGTGTGAATCACTGCAGTAATATAGGCTGTTCTGCTCTCCAGACATCCTCCCTCAGCAGCAAACTGATCCTGAGCACACACAGCACCAGAGCACCACCACAGACACCACTGAGACCCTAAACACACAGCACTTATAAGTTCATATTATGATTTATCATTCTCCCTGCTAGTCAAATTTGCTCTTAAACTTCCTCCTTTTTTAAAAAATGCAAAAGTCTTTCCAGAAGCAAAATCCTTACCTGAGGCATTTCCAAGCCCAGATTCCCCAAATCCAATTCCAAACTTCTTGTTTTATTCACTTGTAGATTCCTTTCCAGCTTTACTTCAGTCTCAGTGAGTTTACACTCTCCATGCAATGAAATTTTGCCTTAGGATAACTTCAGTCCACCCTGATGCAGCTCTTCTATTTGTAGACTTCTGTGCAGAACAAACACAGCAAACCCCCAAGGAGGTGAGTAATCCTTCACTAAAAAGGTGAACACTTAAAAAACAGCCAAAGTGAAGTCAAGGGAAAAATTTCCCCTGCGAAGTGGTTTTCCCTCATGCTGGAATGTATAAGAATTTCTTCCCCTGCCACTGTTGAATGAAAAGCAACAGATGCTACAAAACAAATTTGCTGCAAAAACCTTTTTTCATCTGAGTTACATTTTGTTGCCTTTTTTCCCCTCACTGCTCAGACCATGAGGTCGATAGACACCTGAAGAGAAAATTCTGTCAAAATGGGAAAAACAAGTAGCACACTGCTGGGTGTCCAAGAGGGAAACAATCTCCATGACTAATACGACAGAGCCAATATATTCTGAAAGGCATAAATTCTCAGGCAAAAATCTCAGAACAAGCAGAAATACTGTTTCAGTGACATCTCCTTTTCTTCAGGGATGAATCCATCCAGCACCAGATAAGAGGCTATCAATCACTCTCATAGCAACATCTAGTGGTAGAGAATCACAGTGAGCATCTCCATCCTGCAGCACAGAGGGAGAGAAACTTCCCCAACAGAGCACATCAGACACTGTGCCAAATCCACAGCTGCCTAATAAAGTATCTTCTCTATTCATTCAAGCAAGGCACACGTTGAAATCAGTCCAGTTTATCTACTAGTATCGTTACCAGTTTAGTGGTTTCTACAGACCCATTGCTACTTCAGATGTTTGTCTGAAGACTCTTCCGAGTCTCATATCCTGCTCAATCCTGTATTTCTAAGAAGGAAAAACCTCACTCAGCATCGCTGCTAAGTCAGACTTTGGTGCAATCTGCTCAGGCTATGTTTGTTGAAAAACAAATAGTAAACTCTAAGTACTCTCCTCCAGCTCAAAACCCTCCTCCCACCAGCACATGACAGCATCCCCGTGATTATTCCCACTCGCGGATAGCATCTCAGCTATTTTCTTCTATTCAGCACACGTACCATCAGACTGTGGTAAAAACAGGCACTATGCAAAGAAGCCTTTCCTTATCCAAACGTACAGCTTTGCAAACAGCACTTGGAACAGAGAGAACAACAGCTGAAGCCACACACGAGTTCCCAGTAAACCCACACTGCCCCTGCCAGAGCAATCCCTTCCCCGCAGGGCCCTGTGGAGAGGAGAGCCAGCTCCTCCCGAGAAAAGTTCCCTAAAAGCTCTGAAACCTCCACGGAGCTCTTTACATAGCTTAAAGTGACGTTTAAAGTGAAGTTCGTGCTTGGACAACCCTCATGTCCCTGCACCACCAAAGGGTGAGCCACAGCAGGACTTGTCCTGCTGATGCTGTGGTGATGAGACTGAGGCACTGCTCAGCCTCACCCAGGACAAAGAGCCTGCTCTGCACAACAAATAAGTGATGTTCTCACAGGCAAAGAAGGATATGATCTTTAACACCAACTGACACCTGAGCACTTTGTTTCCACGCTGAGATTAATGCCTTCTGCACCAGAACATGCACTTGGACATCCTCACCAGACCTGTGTTCACATGGAGAGTCAGAGCTCTGCCAGTGTTTGATGCAAAGGGGACAGAAAGGAAATATTTGCTGCTTCTCTACCGGTTATTCTCTGTCAGGTTTTTCTTAGAACATGTACCTCAAGCCATTCCATACACAATTAGCAAAGGGAGGTGAAACGCCACGTGTACCAATACTGATGCCAGTAACAACCAACCACTACTTCCAAGTTTTACCTTTGGGATCGTTTACAAATCTTCAAACCAAACATTAAACACTCCAAATCCTGTTACCATATCAAAAACTTGATCTTTGAGCACCGTTTCAGAACCACAGTGCATGTCCTCCCAGGCTGATACACAGCAGTGGATCAACTAATCTGATTATTCCCATAATTCTCCTTATTACTGACGTTTTATGATAGGAATATTTAAATGCAGCTTGACTCCCATAGGACCTATTCAAATGTTCGACAAGATTTCTCTTGGTAGCTGTGTGGCAGGGGAAAACACAGTGAGGCCAGGAAAAGCAAGGCACTGCCTGGGGGAGCTGCACAATCCAGGCATGCTCCATGCTGCCAACAAAGCAGC